CCCCCCAAAAAAAAAAAAAAAAAAAAAAAAAAAGACTAGCCAGTACTACACAGCGAGACCTTATCTCAGAACAAAACAAGACCCACAATCCTCTGCCATTGCCTAACATGCTGTGAGACCTTGAGCGAGTGGATTCACTTCTCTGAGCCTTTCTTTCGCTGTGAGGTTAGGAGTCTGTGTAAGGCTCAAGATCTCTTCCAGCCCTAAGACTGTCTGTAAAAGATTATCGGCATATAAACATCACTTTGGAGAGTTTGAATGAAAGGTCTTTGGAAAAGAGCCAAATGTCCTTTCTGGACCCTTAGCACATGTGGGTGCAAATCCAGTCTCCCTCTCATTTACCTTGCCATTGTCTTTTCCAAGCCACTATCCCATTCACCTCCATTACTCTTCCTATGACCTCAAGTCAGTTCTTCATACCTAAAGTCATTTTTATAAAACTCAAATCTGACATAACTCTTATGTGTAAAACCCTTTGGTGGCTCCCACTGTCTTCTAGATAGTCTGAAGTGTGGTATCAAAGTCCCCAAGCCTGGTGAGATGTCACATGCCTGTAATCCCAGCATTCTCCAGGAGGCTGAGGCACAAAGATTGAATCTATGCATTTGAGGCCAGCCTGGGCTACATAGTGAGTTCAAGGCCAGCCTGAGCTAAATAGCAAGACTTTGTGGGGGAAAAAAAAGTCTCCAAGATTCTCCGTACTTTTTCTATTTTTCAATATTCCACTTCTCCCAAAAACATCAACCCTCAATATCCTTTGCTTTGTCCCACATGTCTAAACCACTTTCTCTGTGAAGCCTTCCTTGAACAGTGAGTTTGGCTTTTCTGTTTTAGTTGTCTGCCTTAAGCTCTTGTTAACATTTAACACTTTAAATTATAAATTTAATATGTTGAATCTACTAAAAAGCAGAAATGATGTTTAATGATGTCAGTCTTGTACAGCACGTGATCTGGCTCCCCATAGAGGTTCAGGAAGGCTTGCGTTGAATGAAGGCCTCTGTTATCTGGGTAGGCACTGTAATAGTTCAAGGCCAAGACCCACTTGGAGCCCCTACATCAGGAAGCTAAGGTAAGAGGATTGCAAGTTTGAGGCCAGGCTGAACAATTTAGCAAGACTCTGTCTCAAAATTAAATGAATAAATAAAGGCTTGAGGATGTACCTCATCCTCAGAGCACTTGCCTAGCATTTGTGAGGCCCTGGGTTCAATCCTACATACCAAAAAAACAAAACAAAAAACTATTGGATAGTAATAAAAACAAGTATGTTAAAGTGAATGCTTTATGTAAATCCTAACCTCTCTGAGGCTCAATTTTAATAATCTGTAAAATTAATATTAAAATAGGTTAGAATAAAATAAAATTGTGTACATAAAACACTTGGCATATACTGGGCACCCAATAAATTTACTAATGCCTGGCTCATAGAATGTTTAATACCAAATGAATAAATGAGTAAATTAGGACCTTGAGGATAAATGGCCACCTAGATGCCTCAAGAGGCAATGTAATGTCAGGCTTGGTGGAACACACTTGTACTGCAAACACTGGGAATTTGAGGCAGAATACTCATCATAAATTCAACTCCAGTTTGGGCAACTTAATGAGGCCCTGGCTGAAAAGGGGCAGGGAGATGTAGTTCAGTGTGAAGGGCCTGGATTCAATCCCATACAATAAAAGAGCGGGAATGTAAGGGGGTGGGAGACAGAGAATAAAACTGATTTCATGCTCATAATTATTAAAGCTGGAGTATGGATCCACAAAGATTTATTAACCTATTCTCTACTTTTTTGTATATTCATGAAGTTGTCCATGATAAAACCTCAAAGAGATAATAGGTAGAAGGAGTCCTAGGCTAGGCATTAAGACAAGTTAGAATATTAAAGACCAGACAGGGTGGGTGGGAGGTGTAGCTTAGTGGTAGATCATGTGCTTGGCATGCTACAAAGTCCTGGGTTTATTCTCAGCAGCAAACAATAAAAAAGACTATAGGACCTCTGGAAAATGAATTAACCCTGAACAGATCTGTCATCCTCAGGGGTTAATACCGCCAACCTTGCAAGCCTGGATTCTCAATCAATTATGTGTTGTGAGCCTCTGTGTGTGTGTGTCCGTGTGTCCAGGGTCTCTAGTAAGTACTTTATCACTGAGTTACCCCTTAACCCTCTGGAGCCAATTCTTTGTATCCTAAATCTTGATCTCCTCTTTATTTTTCTTCTCTGCATTATGGCTGGTCTCCAGTCAAGAAACTCCATGAGTGGAGCCGGAAGTGGTGGCACATGCCTGTAATCCCAGCACTCGGGAGGTTGAGGCAGGAGGATCCCTGTGAATTCAAGGCCAGCCTGGGCTACATAGTGAGTTCCAGGTCAGTCTCAACTACATAGTGAGACCTCTCAAAAGCCAAAAAGCAAACAAACAAACAAACAAACCAAAGAAACGAGCCAGAGATTTAGCTCAGTGGTTCTGCAAGGACCTGAGTTCAATCCCCAGTACCAAAAAAGAGGGTACCAAAAAAAAAAAAGAAAGAAAAGAAAAGAAAAAAAGAACTGCATGCTAGGCTTAAGTATGCATGTCTATAACTCACAGAAACAGGCAGAAAGATTGCACTTAGCAAGACTCTGTCTCAAAATTAAAAAATAAAAATATGTATCATGCCTGTAATCCCAACACTAAGGAGGCTGAGGCAGGAGGATCACGTTCTAGTCCAGCCTGGGCTACCCTGTCTCTAAAAACAAAACAAAAACCAAAAAACGACTGAGGATATAGCTGAATTTGAAGGCCCTAAATTCATTCCCCCCATCTCTCTCTCTCTCTCTCTCTCTCTCTCTCTCTCACACACACACAGAGCCCTGCAAGATAGAGCGAGAGCCTCCCGGCAGCTTCCTCCACCCTACTCCACAATTTAGGAGGTAATGGTTCCTCCAGAGAAAAAGGCACTTAGTGGTGACAATGAAGCTAATTAACAGAATGCCAATTAGTTCCTGAAGACTGCTGTGTGTAGGAAGGGAATTCACGGCTCCTTGAAAAGACAAGAAGGCTGGACTCAAAGGAATGGGTGGGGTAGAGCAACCTAGTCCCCCATTTTCATTGTCATCTACCCAGCACACCCCTTTCTGAAATCCTTCCTAAGCACCTCACTCTACTCATGGCTTCTCCTTTCCTCTGTGGCCAATTCTGAGATGGGTGAGAAAGACAAAAGGGGCAGCAGCGGTATGAGCTAATAAATGTGCCCAATTTTTTTCCAACTGCGAAGTATTTCAGACATACAAAGTTATAGTATATATGTGTGTGTGTGTGTGTGTGTGTGTGTGTGTGTGTGTGTGAATATATAATAATCCATATACCCACCACTCAGCTTAAACATGTTACCAAGTGAGCTGAAGCACGCTCTCTGCCCTGAGAGGTAACCAGCCTCAATTTGGTGTATGTACGATGCTCTTTCCCAGACTGTGCCATGTATTCTGTCTTTTCCCTCCGGAGCAGTACTGTCTAATAGAACTTTGTGTGATGATATAAATGGTCTGCACTTGCACTATCCAATATGCTAGTTATGGGCAACATGTGGCTAGCATGAAGCACTAAAGTTTCTCTCTCTCTTTAGGGCTGAGGATTGAACTCGGGGCCTTGTACACACTAATAAGCAAGTATTATACTTGTTCTTTGAGACAGGATCTTGCTATGTAGTTCAGGCTGGCCTTGAACTCAACAGTGATCCTCATTCCTGGCCAGTGACTCTGTGTTGGATAATGATGCTCCAGAATATAGTAGGGTAGGAACTTTGTGGTATTCATTTTTTTTTTTTTTTTTTAATGTTGTTGCCCAGGCTGGGTTTCAACTTCATAATCCTTTAGCCTCAGTCTTTTTAGTATCTGGGCTTATACGCATGTGCCACTGCACCCAGCTGTTTTATTTACTTCTGTGAGTCTGGAACAGTCCCTGGTAAATAGCAGCAGGTACTCAATAAATATTCAGGTCAGTGACTAAGTCATTAAAGCAAGCCAATTACACAAAAAAATTATTCCCATTTTCAAGTTGGGACCACTGAGGCTCAGAGAAGTGATACGTCTATATAAGGTGACCTAAGCCCTGTCATGTAAAGGTACAAGATCCCAATGATGAATGTAACTGTACTGTATACCTAAAATGTATCAATAAACTCAATGAAAAAAAAAGGTGACCTATCTTCTATGTGCTCAGTCCAGGATTTGGACCCAATTCTCCTAATCTTAAGCCTATACTTTTTTTTTTTCTTCCAGTTCTGTGTACTGAACCCAGGACATCATCTATACTAAGCATGAATTCTACCTCTGAGCTGCACCCCAGCCTCAAGACTACACCCTTAACCACACCCAAAGGGATTTTACTAAGCCTCTCCCAGAGCTGCCAGTTAAACAAGAGGCAGCCTGTCCAGGTGTTTTTGGGGCAAACCCTGTTGTGGGCAGCTGCAGCGTCAGCTCCAGAATTCTCTGGGTGTCCTGGTTTGTCCCTGCCCTTCCTTCTATGCAGTAGCATGACGTGAACACTTCCTCTCAGCACCCAGGTGACTGAACTCTGAAGTCACAGACAAGTAGCACTGAGGTGCAAACAGGAAAA